CGGCTGCCGGCGGACGAGAGAGACACCCATCCCGCGGCGGATAGTGCAGGATTACCGGCTCCAGCTGGTGCAGGATGGCTGCAACATCCCGGCTGCTGTGTAAGAGCCACAGGGTGGTTGGTGATGGCTGAGGGACAAGAGCCCCAGAGGGGATGATGGTCAAGGGATGGACCCTGCGGGGAGGAAGGGAGGGAGGCAGAGCTGGGTGGAGGAGGGATGTTGAGTTGGGTTCGGGGGTGAGGGAATAAGGAGGGTTGTGGGAGAGACCCTGGAGATCAGAGGCTCAATCAGAGCAGGACCTGCCAGGAGTGGAAAACTTAGGACAAAAGTCAGGGAAGAAAGTAATCTCAAGGTAGAGATGGAGGAGGGCAGTGAGGGAGGCAGCGGGTGAGAGCTTGAGCTGTGCTTGAACAATCCCAGGGTGTCCTGCTCATCTTGGGTTTTTTCCCCATGGGTCTGGCAGGTTCATCACCACGAAAGGCAAGCGCCTCTGTGCCCCACTCCAAGCCCCGTGGGTGATTCGCCTCCAAGAGAAGCTGGATGCCAGCTCTGCCAGGAAGGTAAGAGCAGTCCCTCTTCTTAGCCAGGAATGGGGGCAGCCCGGGGTGGGTTAATCCACCACCAAAAAGGCTTTTCCCAGTCTGACTGGGCTGCTGGGAAGAGCTGGGACATGCTCTCCTGAGGCATGGATACCTTGTCTCCATCTGCATCCCTCCTCCCTCCAACTGGGACCAGTCTATCTCCTCTGTGATCCCTCTTCCACCTGAAATAAATGCAGCCCAGGGACTAATGCCCACTCAGCACCACCCTGAGCTGAGCCCAACAAGTGCCACGGCAAATGGCACCATAAGCCACCCCCCATGCCCCCGCACACCACCTCCACCATTTCTGCCCTGCAAATTTGGAGTTTGCAACTTGTGTGTCTTGACAGGGAGGGCTTGAGAGCTTGTGGCTTGTGTTTGGTGGGTTCTTTGCAAGCCCAGCCAGGTCCCCACTTCATTACCATGGCTTGGTCAGGGGAGGTCATCCCTTGGTGACCACCCCAACCACAGGGAAGGGACTCTGGGGAGGCTCCTGCCTCATCACATCTGGGTTTTTCACTTCCCCAGGCCAAACCCCAGGGCAAGTAAGCTCCGAAGAAGCCCATGCCTGGCCCCAGCGCCTGAAATGGGGCCAGCTCCCAGCTGTGAATCTGAAGCTAATGGAACCAACCTGCTTCCACCTCCAATCGAAGGGCCAACCCTCCTCAGGACTTGTGCCGGCACGCGGGGCTGGGCAGAGCCCTGCCTGTTCTCTCTTCTTCCCTCTGTCTCTGGTGTGACCCAGCAACCTGCACCAGGCTGTGCCAGGGGCTGCTGGACCAGAGCTTCCACTGCCTTCACAGCCTGGAAGCTGGTTGATGGGACTGTTCTGGGAGACAAGTTTGGGTGGTTCTCAGCCTTGCCTTGCAGAAGCTGTGACTTCCAGCACCAGTCTGATCCCTTTGGTTTCCATTGTTAGCCCCAAACCTTCTGCAGCCCTTCTGTGTCCTTGGGGAGGGCTGCCAGGATGGGACAGTGTGGGGATGGAGGGGAGGGATGGAGACGTTCCTCGCTGGCCATGCACTGTGCTGCTCCCTGGTGGAGCATGATATAGATGCCCCTGTGCAGAGCATGGCTGATGCTGTTCCTCTCTCATGCCCTGAGTTCCCTGCACTGTTTCCCCTCCTGCCCTTTCTTGCCCAGGTAGAAACAGAGCCAGTAATGCGGTGGCAGCAGAGTGGGTAGTGATGTTGCCTCGGACCCTTGCACTCCTCAGGGACATTGCCCCCTTTCTTGGTCCCCCAGCCTGCCACCATGTTCAAAGCCTGGGCTCTGGGATACACGAGCAGTGTTTGTGCTGCTCTCAGACATTTGCTGCTAGATCTATTCAATGCAACAATTACGGGTGTAAGTTGCTTCTTTCTCTCTTTTTTTTTATTATGCTGTGGTATTGTTAAATAAAAAGAAAAGCCACTGGGTGGTTGATATGCCTCGTGTTTGAGCCCGAAGGTCAGTGTGGAGCGTGAGGCGTGCAGCCAGTGCTACCTGCAATGCTGCAGCAGCAAGGTGGGGGGAAAGTGGCTTTCATAAGGGTGAAGGACACTTTCTACAGCAGCTGGGCTGCAGATCTCCCCTGGGAGGTCTTAGGACCATGGTGAGGCGGACGCCCTGCTCTGCGATGCTTGGCCAGCCTGCCAGGGCAGGTCACCAAGGGGCTGTGTTGCACAGATGGGGAGGGAGGGAGCATGGTGGTATTGCGCCATCCAGCCCAAACTACTTCCGTCCCCACTGGTGTGGCTGGGGGGCTGGGGCTACCCAGACCTCAGCTCCCACGGGAGCTTAGGACATGGATGAAGAGCTGTGATAACAGGAGCCTTCTCCTTGCAGTGACAGGAACTTTGCCTTGGGTCTCCTGGGGCTGTGCACTGGGTCTGTGCACTGGTCTTGGTCCCCCCAAATGGCTTTATGTCCCTTTGGGAACAGCCCTTTCACCCACGCCATGTGATGTTTGAACAGAACTGCTCTGTTTGGGTGAAGCATGGGGCTGAACATGCACAATTGAGGTTTACGTGGCCAACATGCACAATTGAGGTTTACATGGCCAACAGCCAGGAACCATGCTCTCCTCCCAAAGACCACAGTGTTAAACGTGACTGTCCACGTGGTTACATTTTTACACTGTGCTTGGCCAGGTTTTGGTGCTTTGCAGAAGGCCTGGGTACAGGCTGGGAGAGAGACGGCCCAGGTACTGTTCCTCAAGGCAGGGGGAATGTGGCCACCAGCCCTTCCAGGGCAGGGCATCCATGGTGGTGCAGCGGCTGGGCTGTCCAAGCCAGGGGATGTCCAGGCACCTGGTGGCTTTTGCTGAGACCTGTCAAATGCAGGCTTAGCCTTGTCCCTTTTCCTCCCCTGGTCTGCTGCCTCCCTTGGTTGGTGGCTGGGGTTTCTTTTCCAGGTGTTCCTCCCTCTGGGGTCCTCCTCCCTGGTATCTGTGCACACGCGATGCCCTGGGCTTGGCTGTCTCTTGGTGTGACTTTCCCAGACCATCAGCTCTGTCCCAGCTCATTAACTATAGTGACAGCCCAGCAATACAATCCCGAGGAGGAGGAGGCAGAGGAGGAAGGGTGGTATGGGAAGAGAGGCCAAGACAAACATCGTGAGTGGGAAATGAGGATAACCGGTGCTTGCTTGGGCAGAAGCCTTCCTGCTGCTCGCTCAGTGACCCATGAGGTGCCACGGCTGGCGAGGAGGAGGATGCTCGGCACTGGAGCTGAGGTGCTGCAGCTGGAGCAGGTCCCTGTGCAGGACAGGGGCTGCAGGAGAGTGAGCCAGGCAGCAGGCTGCCCTTACCCTCCAGTGAAGGACAGGAGGAGATGCTGTACTGGGCCAGGTACGTGGTCCTGTCTGGCTGTGCCTCCTCCAGCCCTGCAGCAGCTGTCCCTACTCCAGAGCCTGATGCTTGGAAATCTGTCAAAACCCAGCAGGGCTCAGTACTGCGTAAACTACGGCGTTTTTCCCGATACAAAATGTCAACAATCTGTTTAGCGGGAAGCAGCCACTTTCCTTGGAGAAAGCAGCTAGTCACTGCCATGTCAAAAACCTCATGTCCCAGTGAAGAGCTACATTCAATGAAAAATGTTCCAAGTCCTCCTGTTTCTCTGTCCCTAGATGTCCTTTTCCTACTCATTGTTTACCCTCACTCCACTCGCAAGGGTTGGTGGGGCAGGATTGGGATCTGTTGCGGTATGATGCAGACATGCCATGAGAAGATCTGGGGCTATGTGCAGGGATCCCTTTGGTGTGAGGGGCTCTGGAGCATCGGCTGAGTCACCTGCAGTACTTAATCCACACCTGAGACACGTATGTCACACATGGAGGAATAACAAGACATTATAACTGAAGAGTTTGTGTTCAAGTTTATGTTCAAGTTTATGCCCATTACCCCTCGTCCTTTCAGTGGCGCCCAGTGATAGGACAAGGGGTAATGGGCATAAACTTGAACATAGGAAGTTCCATCTTAACATGAGAAGGAACTTCTTTACTTTGAGGGTAGTGGAGCACTGGCACAGGCTGCCCAGAGAGGTGGTGGAGTCTCCCACTCTGGAGACATTCAAAACCCGCCTGGACGCTGTCCTGTGTAACGTGCTGTAGGTGACCCTGCTCTGGCAGGGGGGTTGGACTAGATGATCTCCAGAGGTCCCTTCCAACCCTAACCATTCTGTGATTCTGTGATTCTGTGAGTTTTCCTAGAGGGCTGACAAAATAGCCCCTCTCCTCATGACTGTTCAGAAGGCCAGGAAAGAAAGGCAAAGCTCCATCTGTGCAAGGAAATTGAGCATCCTTTGGGTTGTTCTCTAGCTGCCAGGCCTCATAACTGGGATCATGAGACCATTCCTGCATCTCCCAGGCATGGTGAAAGCTGTCTCAGATGCTTCACAGGCTGCATTCAGGGGGCACAAGACACAGCAGGCACAATGCTGCAGTCTCAGGGTCTGACCTGGAATGGGCATTCCCAGCCAGAAGGTGGGATTGAAGGTCCATAGCAAAAACACTCGTCTGCTTCTCTGCAGCAAGAGCGGGCATCAAAGGGAAATGCTACGCTGGCCTCATCTGGTGTCATGACAGCCCTTCCAGGGGCTTTACTGGAACTGGTTTTGTCCCTTGCCTTGTGTACAGGGGCTTTTTCTGTCACCAGCATCCCTCATGTGTTGCACATGTTGCTCCTGAATGGACCAGGGAGGAGCTGGCTGCACCCTCCCGGCATGTACTCATAGGTGAGGTGAGCAGCGCCGTGGGGGCTAAAAGCTGTTCCCCCCTCCCACAGCCCTCACACGGCCTCTTCATGTCAATCCCTGGTGCAGAGCTGTCCACAGGAGCTGTGAACATGCCCTGGGCGCATTTGCCACTGCAAGGGTCAGTTGTCCCCCATGCTGGTGGTCTCCTCTGCTTGGTGCCAAGGCAAAGGGCTGCTCTCCATGGGCACTGATCCCTTGGCACCAGTGCTGGACCCGGCTGGCAGGGGCTCAGGGATCTGACAGGTTTTTGTGGGGACATGGGACGTGTGGACGGTTGGGAAGGGTGGGAACCCAGGTGAGGAAAAGCCCCTTTAGTGTTGTCCCATTGTGCTGTTTGCTCCTGCCTAAACATTAACACGTACGGATGATGGAGAGGATCCAGGCTTGGCATCTCTCCTCCCCAGGCCCCTGCTTGCTTCCCTTTCATTCCCAGCGTGTCATCACCAGTGCTGCTTGTCCGGACACTTTCTGCTGAGATTTGTCCTGTGAGAAGATGTTACCACCCTTGGCCAGACTGTGGGGATCTGTGCACGAGCTGGTCCCATCTCTGCCACCCTCCTCCTGCAGCTGGACTCTCCCTGGTGGTATCGCCCAGCCTGCACCTCTGTGGTCTTGCTTCTGGGGTCTGGTCCCAATGACTGGAGCAGGGAACCAGGGTGTTTTTCCTGGCACGGGTCCCTGGAGTCAAACTGAGTCCAGAAGTTGTCTGACATGGGGGAACGTTGTGCCCACGCAGGGCTCAGC